TTCTTATGAGAAGTGTTATCTTTGGCAATTTTTGTCCAAGGGGCGGAGCTTAAGCAAAGTTCCACTTCGGTTGCTAAGCGGATTTACTGAAAATCCATCAGTGAAAAGAATCCAATAAAAGGACAAACTGCATACACCACGGACAGAGGAGAACAAAATAGCTGTGCCCAAATATTGAGAGTCGGCGCAAGGGAGAAAACATGATAAATATAGATTGAGGCAAGTGGTAAGGTGGATAGTAGAAGATACAAGGGGTATAAGGAAAAGAAAATTGAAAAGAAAAAAGTTGCATGTCGAACTTGTTTTGCCTTTGCAGCCCTCTTGCTCAATGGTTGGAACATTCCATTTTTATGACCTGAGTTTTCTTAAACTGTGCTGCCACCACGATGCGCATCTTTTTTCCATTTACAAACAAACGAAAACTAAAGAGCTTCACTATAGTAAAGAACCTTGCCTATTGGCTGCGTGACACTGTAGGTGCAAGAGAAATGATATTGTTACAGACACTGAGCTTATTGTGTGTGGATACTATGACAAGCTTCTGTTTTTTTTTTTTTCTGTAAAAATAAAGCTACATGTCAAGCCCCAGTGGCCTAATGGATACGGCACTGGCCTCCTAAGCCCCATCAAGTCCCATCTGGGGTGCACCAAGTTGGGGTTTACTTTGAGCAAGTCACTCAAATTTAGCCGCCACCAAATGTACAGTTTTATTCACTGATGAGGTTTAATCATGAAGACAAGCAGTTGTGTAAACCCAACAGGGTTATTCACTAAAGTGAAAATGATCAGGAATTCCAAGTGTATTTCAATCTAAAGGCCCAAGTGGACTATTTTCTCCAAGTTACGTACACCTTCAGTTCTGTTGAGTCGGCCTTTCATTTTAAAATTCACTTTAAATTCTGGACAATTCTCACTTTAGTGAATATATCTGTACGATTATGAAATTGCCACATGAAACTTGCATTCAGCTCATTAGAAGCTAATTGAGAACACTGTGACAGCGCAGGTTTGGGTGAAAACACAGTAGTCGCAAAAAAAGCAGCTAGCTCCAGTGGCGCAATCGGTTAGCGCGCGGTACTTATAAGGCAGTATCTGTTGAGCAATGCCGAGGTTGTGAGTTCAAGCCTCACCTGGAGCAGTTTTTGCATTTGATTTTCATTGGTTTATCTGCAAGGTCAGGCACGGTGTCTCTAACCAGCTCTCAACGCCCCACCAGTCATACATGATGTAAAGGGATTCTATTGTGTTCCTCTGTTTGCACTTGTTTTTATTTGCACTTAAATTCATCTTACTATTTTTGGTTAGGGATTGCATTTTCTTATGAGAAGTGTTATCTTTGGCAATTTTTGTCCAAGGGGCGGAGCTTAAGCAAAGTTCCACTTCGGTTGCTAAGCGGATTTACTGAAAATCCATCAGTGAAAAGAATCCAATAAAAGGACAAACTGCATACACCACGGACAGAGGAGAACAAAATAGCTGTGCCCAAATATTGAGAGTCGGCGCAAGGGAGAAAACATGATAAATATAGATTGAGGCAAGTGGTAAGGTGGATAGTAGAAGATACAAGGGGTATAAGGAAAAGAAAATTGAAAAGAAAAAAGTTGCATGTCGTACTTGTTTTGCCTTTGCAGCCCTCTTGCTCAATGGTTGGAACATTCCATTTTTATGACCTGAGTTTTCTTAAACTGTGCTGCCACCACGATGCGCATCTTTTTTCCATTTACAAACAAACGAAAACTAAAGAGTTTCACTATAGTAAAGAACCTTGCCTATTGGCTGCGTGACACTGTAGGTGCAAGAGAAATGATATTGTTACAGACACTGAGCTTATTGTGTGTGGATACTATGACAAGCTTCTGTTTTTTTTTTTTACTGTAAAAAGAAAGCTACATGTCAAGCCCCAGTGGCCTAATGGATAAGGCACTGGCCTCCTAAGCCAGGGATTGTGGGTTCAAGTCCCATCTGGGGTGCACCAAGTTGGGGTTTACTTTGAGCAAGTCACTCAAATTTAGACGCCACCAAATGTACAGTTTTATTCACTGATGAGGTTTAATCATGAAGACAAGCAGTTGTGTAAACCCAACAGGGTTATTCACTAAAGTGAAAATGATCAGGAATTCCAAGTGTATTTCAATTTAAAGGCCCAAGTGGACTATTTTCTCCAAGTTACGTACACCTTCAGTTCTGTTGAGTCGGCCTTTCATTTTAAAATTCACTTTAAATTCTGGACAATTCTCACTTTAGTGAATATATCTGTACGATTATGAAATTGCCACATGAAACTTGCATTCAACTCATTAGAAGCTAATTGAGAACACTGTGACAGCGCAGGTTTGGGTGAAAACACAGTAGTCGCAGAAAAAGCAGCTAGCTCCAGTGGCGCAATCGGTTAGCGCGCGGTACTTATAAGGCAGTATCTGTTGAGCAATGCCGAGGTTGTGAGTTCAAGCCTCACCTGGAGCAGTTTTTGCATTTGATTTTCATTGGTTTATCTGCAAGGTCAGGCACGGTGTCTCCAACCAGCTATCAACGCCCCACCAGTCCTACAGGATGTAAATGGATTCTATTGTGTTACTCTGTTTGCCCTTGTTTTTATTTGCACTTAAATTCATCTTACTATTTTTGGTTAGGGATTGCATTTTCTTATGAGAAGTGTTATCTTTGGCAATTTTTGTCCAAGGGACGGAGCTTAAGCAAAGTTCCACTTCGGTTGCTAAGCGGATTTACTGAAAATCCATCAGTGAAAAGAATCCAACAAAAGGACAAACTGCATACACCACGGACAGAGGAGAACAAAATAGCTGTGCCCAAATATTGAGAGTCGGCGCAAGGGAGAAAACATGATAAATATAGATTGAGGCAAGTGGTAAGGTGGATAGTAGAAGATACAAGGGGTATAAGGAAAAGAAAATTGAAAAGAAAAAAGTTGCATGTCGTACTTGTTTTGCCTTTGCAGCCCTCTTGCTCAATGGTTGGAACATTCCATTTTTATGACCTGAGTTTTCTTAAACTGTGCTGCCACCACGATGCGCATCTTTTTTCCATTTACAAACAAACGAAAACTAAAGAGTTTCACTATAGTAAAGAACCTTGCCTATTGGCTGCGTGACACTGTAGGTGCAAGAGAAATGATATTGTTACAGACACTGAGCTTATTGTGTGTGGATACTATGACAAGCTTCTGTTTTTTTTTTTTACTGTAAAAATAAAGCTACATGTCAAGCCCCAGTGGCCTAATGGATAAGGCACTGGCCTCCTAAGCCAGGGATTGTGGGTTCAAGTCCCATCTGGGGTGCACCAAGTTGGGGTTTACTTTGAGCAAGTCACTCAAATTTAGACGCCACCAAATGTACAGTTTTATTCACTGATGAGGTTTAATCATGAAGACAAGCAGTTGTGTAAACCCAACAGGGTTATTCACTAAAGTGAAAATGATCAGGAATTCCAAGTGTATTTCAATTTAAAGGCCCAAGTGGACTATTTTCTCCAAGTTACGTACACCTTCAGTTCTGTTGAGTCGGCCTTTCATTTTAAAATTCACTTTAAATTCTGGACAATTCTCACTTTAGTGAATATATCTGTACGATTATGAAATTGCCACATGAAACTTGCATTCAACTCATTAGAAGCTAATTGAGAACACTGTGACAGCGCAGGTTTGGGTGAAAACACAGTAGTCGCAGAAAAAGCAGCTAGCTCCAGTGGCGCAATCGGTTAGCGCGCGGTACTTATAAGGCAGTATCTGTTGAGCAATGCCGAGGTTGTGAGTTCAAGCCTCACCTGGAGCAGTTTTTGCATTTGATTTTCATTGGTTTATCTGCAAGGTCAGGCACGGTGTCTCCAACCAGCTCTCAACGCCCCACCAGTCCTACAGGATGTAAAGGGATTCTATTGTGTTCCTCTGTTTGCCCTTGTTTTTATTTGCACTTAAATTCATCTTACTATTTTTGGTTAGGGATTGCATTTTCTTATGAGAAGTGTTATCTTTGGCAATTTTTGTCCAAGGGACGGATCTTATGCAAAGTTCCACTTCGGTTGCTAAGCGGATTTACTGAAAATCCATCAGTGAAAAGAATCCAACAAAAGGACAAACTGCATACACCACGGACAGAGGAGAACAAGATAGCTGTGCCCAAATATTGAGAGTCGGCGCAAGGGAGAAAACATGATAAATATAGATTGAGGCAAGTGGTAAGGTGGATAGTAGAAGATACAAGCGGTATAAGGAAAAGAAAATTGAAAAGAAAAAAGTTGCATGTCGTACTTGTTTTGCCTTTGCAGCCCTCTTGCTCAATGGTTGGAACATTCCATTTTTATGACTTGAGTTTTCTTAAACTGTGCTGCCACCACGATGCGCATCTTTTTTCCATTTACAAACAAACGAAAACTAAAGGGTTTCACTATAGTAAAGAACCTTGCCTATTGGCTGCGTGACACTGTAGGTGGAAGAGAAATGATATTGTTACAGACACTGAGCTTATTGTGTGTGGATACTATGACAAGCTTCTGTTTTTTTTACTGTAAAAAGAAAGCTACATGTCAAGCCCCAGTGGCCTAATGGATAAGGCACTGGCCTCCTAAGCCAGGGCTTGTGGGTTCAAGTCCCATCTGGGGTGCACCAAGTTGGGGTTTACTTTGAGCAAGTCACTCAAATTTAGACGCCACCAAATGTACAGTTTTATTCACTGATGAGGTTTAATCATGAAGACAAGCAGTTGTGTAAACCCAACAGGGTTATTCACTAAAGTGAAAATGATCAGGAATTCCAAGTGTATTTCAATTTAAAGTCCCAATTGGACAATTTTCTCCAAGTTACGTTCAGTTGAGTCGACTTTGATTTTAAAATTCACTTTAAATTCTTGACAATTCTATAGTGAATATATCTGTACGATTATGAAATTGCTACATGAAACTTGCATTCAACTCATTAGAAGCTAATTGAGAACACTTTGACAGCGCAGGTTTGGGTGAAAACACAGTAGTCACAGAACAAGCAGCTAGCTCCCGTGGCGCAATCGGTTAGCGCGTGGTACTTATAAGGCAAGGTTGTGAGTTCAAGCCTCACCTGGAGCAGTTTTTGCATTTGATTTTCATTGGTTTATCTGCTAGGTCAGGCACGGTGTCTCCAACCAGCTCTCAACGCCCCACCAGTCCTACAGGATGTAAAGGGATTCTATTGTGTTCTTCTGTTTGCCCTTGTTTTTATTTGCACTTAAATTCATCTTACTATTTTTGGTTAGGGATTGCATTTTCTTATGAGAAGTGTTATCTTTGGCAATTTTTGTCCAAGGGGCGGAGCTTAAGCAAAGTTCCACTTCGGTTGCTAAGCGGATTTACTGAAAATCCATCAGTGAAAAGAATCCAACAAAAGGACAAACTGCATACACCACGGACAGAGGAGAACAAAATAGCTGTGCCCAAATATTGAGAGTCGGCGCAAGGGAGAAAACATGATAAATACAGATTGAGGCAAGTGGTAAGGTGGATAGTAGAAGATACAAGGGGTATAAGGAAAAGAAAATTGAAAAGAAAAAAGTTGCATGTCGTACTTGTTTTGCCTTTGCAGCCCTCTTGCTCAATGGTTGGAACATTCCATTTTTATGACCTGAGTTTTCTTAAACTGTGCTGCCACCACGATGCACATCTTTTTTCCATTTACAAACAAACGAAAACTAAAGAGTTTCACTATATTAACCCCTTAAGGACAGAG